ACATTTATACATGGGATGAGCCACTGCCAGTTGGATGAGGTGGGCTAAACCCAAAGCTCCCAATTTCAGTGCTTCAAAACAGCATTAACCATTTCAGTGGAGGAGAGGATTCACTCATTACCAGATTCCTGTTCCTGTGCTGTGAAGGGCAGGCACTGCTGGAGGCTGGGCCTGACTGCTCCTCCTACCACCAGATCCTGCTCTTGACTTTCAGCTGCTTTAGTTTGATACAGCAAAATAACCCCATGGTGCAGGAACAGCACATCCCATCATCTCCCACTGGTAAGGCCAGGCCTGTCTCTTCTCCTCCCACACTTTGTCACTCTTGCCCTAGACTTGTAACTCAGTCCTGGACCATCCCTGGTCTTCATTTCTACTTTCTGTGACTTCATGTTTGATATTGAGACCTCAGGCTGTCAGCTACCTGATCTGAGGATGTGAGTCACACCAACAGGTCCTGCAGGGATCTGGGCAAATCCACAGTGATGCCCAGGTCAGGTCAGGCAGTGCTAATTAGCAAGGTAAGGAAGCCAGGTGGAAAGAGATTAGTAAAGATCAATACTGTTTGAAGCTTGTCACACTACAGGATGGAAAAATCAGGATAAGGTTACAGAGGAATGATAGAAGATAGATTTTTTCTCTAAAAATAATTTAATCAATCAATTTAACTATTCAATTTAACTTTTGAAGGTATGTACATTACTAGTTTATGGTGGAAAATACAAATAAAAATAAGCCCTATATTGCTATCTCATTCACTATGTGGTAGAGCAATGCCTGGAAAGGGCTTGAATCTTTGTAAAAACTCCTCCAGTTTCCCATTCCACAGCAACCATCTCCTCCCACTGCCATCTGCTTGGTGCATTCATTCTGCCTCATTCCTCACATCTATGATGAAAGACAGACATTCTAATTTGAGGGCCTCTTTGATAATCTTGAGAAACTAGCTACAGGTAATTTTTTGACCATCAAAGCTGATTCCAGCAGCTTACTCTCACTCAGGCTGCTCTTCTAATTAGGGTGTCATTTATTCATCCCAATAAGCCACTTCACCGGGCAAGATGAATGCAAGAAATTTTAATCTGCAGTCGTAAGCCAGAGCAATGAAATGAGTGATGAGCTCCAAGTCAAAAGGTTAAAGATATTAATGTTTACTAGTGTTGAAGTTTACAACAGATAATTTCTTTGCTTATTCTCCTTATGCTTTGCCTAAAATCCATCCCTATAAAATGGCAATCCACCACTGATAAGAATGTTATTAGGGATAGAAATCACCAGCATAGCTTAAATTCAGAAATGGAATTAGAAGGTACTGGCATTGGATGCTTTTAGCATATATAAGTAAGAATTGATTTTTTCCTTATTCTGATGATTAAGTGTTGTGCCTGCCAGTCCACAACACCCAGGCACATCGTGGGGGCTCTGTGTGCAGCCCTTTCCCTTCACAGGGACACAAAAGGACTAACAGCCAAACCCAGGGCACCTCACAGTCAGTAATCAGCTTTTTAGGCTACCAAAAGGACAAGATGTAGGGCAGGAAAAGAACCCCAGCAAAATCCCTGGTATTTTATTTTAGTTCCCAAAAATCTGATTGCATACTTTAAAATAATCCACACATGGAAAGCTGTGCAATGAAGGCATCATTAAATATAATCAAGGACGGAATCAGAAAGGAAATGCAACAGAAACCCTGTGCTAGTTTTTATCTTTACAGTCAATGACTGGTTTTTGCAGCTGGGGAATTTGCTCAATTTACTCCATGAGAGAAGAAATACCCTGCATTTTCACAGACAGATGTTTAAACCTATCAAGTGTTTAAACCACTACAATTTTTAGGCAGCGCCATAAGAGGAGCAAAGGGAAGCAGGAATCGCTTGCTGCTCCTGAGCAGGCTTATCCAGGCAGGAAAAGCCTGCCCTCATTGCCCATCTGCTCGGGGCAGCAGGAGCAGCCAGCTGCATCCGGCCACCTAAAAACCAGAGGTGGCTTATCACAGAGCCCCAGGGCTGGAGCCCAGGCTGGCCCACCCCTGCAGCTGCTCCTGCCACCCCTGCCCAGCCAGGCTGGCCCACACCCACTGCTAATGAAGAGCTGCTGATCATACCTGGGAATGCTGAGCTTGCAGCCCAGCCAGCGCTCACTCCTGGATCAGGACACAGCAGGAAACAACAAAGCTGAAGCACAGCAAACGAGCTCTAGCAAAGGAAAGAGAAAGAAAATCACCACCAACATTCAATTCTCTTTCTTTAGTTCTTCTTTACAGATAGAAATGTTTTCCTAAAGGAGCTGATTGCCAAACATAAATTTTGCTACTTGTGCTTGACAGAATCCTGAGAATGCAAAGCCTTTTGTAGCCAGAAAAAACAGTGTGAATTTTCTACTCTTGTACTGCTGAGATGACTCAATATCAGTCCACAGGGGTCTGAAGGTAAAAGCAGAACCACACTCATCTGAATTCCTTGCCTTTCAAACGAGGTTTTTATGACAGAATACTTTATTAGCAAACGGGGCTGCTACAAGCCCACACCAGAAACCACACCAAGCCCAGGGCAATTACCTTTTGTCACTGCCATGCTGAGTGAAATGAGAAAGGCTGCTATTACCTGCTCTCTTGGAGGGTCTTGAGGGATGTTTATTCCTGCCATGTGCAATGCTGTGGCATTTGGAAGTAAATTGTTTATAACAAGAACCAGTCTGAGACACCAGCCACAGCAGCAGCATCAAGCTGCACGGCAGCAGCAAAACTCTGCCCACTGCTCCCTGCTGAGCTCCTGGGATCAGACTCTGGGGACTGGTCAGGAGACACCACCATATTCCTGTGCATGAGGAAATTGCTCAAATTGCTTAAATCTCTCTCCCTTGCACTCCTGGCTTCCTTGCTGCTGCTTCGGCACCGCTGTGCACACGGAGGGAAAGCTCCAGGTCTCCCCAGGATGGTCACAGAGGAGACTCCACGCTCTCTGTAGTGCTCAACCTTGCAATTTATACAGAAAAAAAAAGAGGTATGGCAGATTTCAAGGTTCTGGGCTCAACCTTGGCTTAATTAGTCATGGTGGCATATGTTCTGTGATGGTTACATAAACAGGGATGGGATCCCAACCGGTGGCCAAGGGGTTGCCATGGTAACCATGACAGCCATCAACGCTGCCTTACTCATCAGTTTTGCCCCCGTACTTCAGAAGCACTTCTGCTCCTACTTTGCTATTTTCAAATAAAAATATGAATAAACAGAGCTCTCTAGCCTTCCTTCTCTGGAAACGAAGTTGCCTGAGCCTTTAACCACCAGTGACATTTGTGAATTGATAGCAGCACCCTTGGGCTGCTGCTCTCCAAAGACAATGCAGTTTCTGGAGCCTCACACCAGGGACAAACACAACAGAACACAGATCCACTCCTGAAACAGATCCCTCCACACTGGAGTCCAGACACTGACCTTTGCAGTGCAGACTGTTAGCCACAACTCAATGATGTGCTCATGCCTTCTACAAGCTTTTGAGCAGCTTCACTTCTCTCAGTGCAATTAGACAAGCCTGGCCTAAAGTCTTTTACTCCCAGTTTGCAGCTGTATGTAATAAATAAAAAATGTATTTCTTCCATCTTTTTTTTTCCAGTATAGCTAGTGCATATCTCTGCTTTCAAATCTCCAGCTCTCCCTATTTACATTTTCTTTCAGACTGCTCATAAAGAAAACCCTGACTAATTTTAGGACAAAGATTAATACAGATCATTCTGCTCAGTAACAGCTTTCTACCTACAACCAGTTTCAGACCTGTCACCTATAGCCAGGCCTAGCCCACAGAACATCCACTGCCTTTTCATCATTAAAAATGAAATTAAAACATACTAGATTTAAAAGTCAATTCAGCCTTTTGTATACTTGTTAACCAAGTTATCTATTTATACCTCACTAAAATCCAGCATCTGCAAAGACAATATACAGAGGCACAAGGAAGACAAGAAATAATGGCTTTTCAAATACAATGAAATTGTGTTTTATTTTAAAGCCATTTTAAAAAGAAAGCCTTTTCTTTGCAACAGTATCCAGAAGTTATTAGACAGAAAAGCCAGTCTCAGTAATCTGAATAAAGATTAAATGCTAATTTTTTTGGATTTCAGTGATTTGCAGAAATATTTTTTGGCATAACTAGAAAATGAGTCACTACTAACTTCACCTTCTATAGCTGTTTCAAGTGCAAATAATTTCTCATCTGACAATCACTCAGCTTTTAAAGTTAGCTGTTTTATAAAGCCCTTTATTGAAAGCTAGTATGTGAACAGGGATCCCAAAGCCTTAATTTTGAGAGAAACTGCAGTATGTCAAACTCAATAAAGGCAGAAGACTTGTTTGGATGCCAGATAGCTGTATGTAAAAAATAGTGAAGTTAATAATAGGAGATTTATCAGCTGCCTGGATAGGTGTAGGATTGGCCTCTTGGTTGCTTTATGCAGCAGAGCTGGGAAACTGAAGCAGATCTGCCCTGTGCTGATCTTCGAAATACATGTCAATACAAAAATTTTTGCTACATAAAAATACTTGTTTCTCCTATCTTTCTTTAGAGAGCAAAGTAATTTCTTTATTTCCATCTGGTAGTGCAGGAATAGGAAGAGTAAAGGGAAAAGTGGAGAGACAGTGGTTGTAAGGAACAGCTCTGCACAACTCCTGTTCACCTGTGGCTGTGCCAAAGCAAGGTTTGGGTGGGTTCCAAGAGGAGCCCCTGCCCTGCCCTCCCCTGCCAGGTGCCCGAGCAGCCACACTCCAGCCCCAGCCAGTGCCACACGCCAGGCAGCCCCAACTCCCTGCACTGCTGCTCCAGCCCAGAGCTCTTCCAAGGCTGAGATAATCCAACAAGCTTAACAAAAGGATGGGCTCATAATGCTAATTAGCTTTGTGTAGTCAGGAGATAGACTGGAGCCTCTATCTCTAATGTCCTATGTTAAATCTGTTCTCTCCACATAAAGACCGGTACATTAACCATGTCTTATTTTCCCATTTTCTTTTCAGGGAGCCTGGATGGATTGTAATGCACATGGATAGACTGAAATGCTCAGCAGATGATTTTGCTTAAATCTCAAGTAAGACAAATGTGACGAGCTCTTCAATCACTGCCCTGGGATGTGTGGGCGATGTATTACATTTTACAAGGAACAGCATTTGGAAAAATTCCGTTTTCACTCCTCAGCCACTGTACTCTTTTAATTACTTGCTGAACTTGAAGAAAGAAGAACGGGAAAGGAAAAGGGCAGAGGAGACTTCAGAGAGATAATGAGATGGCTGCCTGCTGAAGTGAGGCAGCAGCATCATTAATGCCTGAGCTAAAGGAGGAACAGGCAGATCCTCACCTCTGCCCCCATGGCAGCAATGGGGTGGCTGCAGTCACTGTTTTGCAGTAACAAAGACACCAAGCTCTAGCAGCAAGTTCCCTACTTTAGTCAAGGGGTTTGTCTCATAGGGCGTGATGGAAGATCCCAGTTTGAGGCTCTGTAGAAGCAATAAAATAAATTCTACCTCAAATCTCCACAAACCATTAATATGCCAGGGACCAGAGACAAATGAAAGTCTCTAAAGGTTCCTGGAGTTTTACCACTTACTATGCCTGTGCATTGCCTGGTGCACACTTCATTTTTACTAAAAATTTAGTGCAATGCAATAAATTAAGAAGAGCAATTTTTTTTGGAAGTCCAATTTCAATCTTCCCTATGAAAAATGTGATTTGAAAACTCTTGTATTGTTATCCAAGGACTACAGGTTGTTTGGGTGGATATGATGAACTGCTCCACACCAATGTGGACAATACCTTTGTTTCCTTGTAGATGCAAACATGGGAGCATTTTCCCAAGATCCTGCATTATTCCTGCTGCTAAACATACTCCAAGAGTTCTCAGGTGAGTACATACTTTTCTTACAGAGGCAACCAAGTTCTGACTCTGACATGATCAGAGGTCAAGCATCAGGTTCAAAAGTTTTGCACAAGTAAAGCACAACTGAGAGCATTATTGTCTTTCAATACTATTATTGTAATATCTGATGATAAATATAATGCCATAAGCTTTAATTGAAATGTAAGCTAAACTGTTTGTTGATAGTCTCCTTCAATTATCCTTTGCTAATTATGAAAATAATTCTAATAATTACTGTGCCCAAAATATCTGGGAAGGAGATCAAAATCACTATCTGAAAATTAAGCACAGTAGTTCAGGGGTTAAAGTCACATAAATGATGCCTTCTTTAAAAACACCCCTCTATAGTTTGCACACTGCTGTAGCAGAAAACTACAAATGAGACATATTTGAAACACACACACACAAAAGGGAAGAAATCACAAGTATCAGATCAATTGGGATATTCTGAGATCTTCAGATTGAGATCTAGAAAAAACATACACATCACAGGCAGAAAGTAAGTGTGAGCAGATAAAAGAGGACTTAAAACTGTGAAAATATGATTACAAAAGAGAAATATTATACTATTAATGAATTCCAGGAAGAATTAACTTAGCCAGCTTGTCCAGTGAAAGATGTTAAACTCGGGATCATTTAAAGCCCATCCCACAGAGAGCAGCCTGTCAGAACCTACTGGGGAGGATGTGTAACACCCAGCCAGAGCCTGCTGGACCAGATCCATGGGAGATCCCAGGGCTCTGCACACAGCCCTGGCTTTGGGGATGATTCCCACTGTGCCCTCAAGTAGATCTGTTGGACCAGCCCCAGCACTGGGGGCATTTCACAGAATCACAGAATCACCAGGTTGGAAGAGACCTTCAACATCATCGAGTCCAACCCAGCCCTGACACCTCAGCTAGACCAAGGCACCAAGTGCCACTTCCAACCTTTTGTTAAACACAGCCAGGGTTGGTTACTCCACCACCTCCCTGGGCAGACAAATCCAGTACTTCAGCACCCTTTCTATAAAAACTTATTCCTAATATCCAACCTATATTTCCCTTGGCCCAGCTTGAGACTCTGTCCTCTCGTTCTGTTGGCTGCTGTCTGGTGAGAGAGACCAACCCCCACCTGACTACAATCTCCTTTCAGGGAGTTGTAGAGAGTGATAAGGTCACCTCTGAGTCTCCTTTTCTTCAGGCTAAACAATCCCAGCTCCCCCACAGCACCCCGACATCACACAGACCCACACATGGTGTGCCAAGTTCCAACAGGTAACTTCCAATCCACCTAATGCACTCCAGCTTTTAAAAAACACTGCAAGTCTTCATGTAGTAACCTTGTGGACATGAGAACATGCAATTTTTTGCAATTATTTTATAAGGAGAAGGGGAGAGGTTATAATAGGATTATGAGCAAGGACTCAGTTCTAAAATTATCTTCAGCTTTAACAATTCACAATTCTAACCCCCTCTCCCTTTTGCTTATTCTTAAAGCCTTTCTTCTTTTCCCTCTTATGCTTAATCTGATCTAAATTCTTTCAGGATGTCAAGGGGATAAATCTGCTATTAAGAGCTACTAGTTTCCATTTGCTTTTTAGAAGTGGGTGTGTGACAACACTCTGAGGCATTACACAGGCAATTAGGTATGCACAGGATGCCCTGCTCCAGAGAGACAATATGCAGAGAAGTGGAGGCTAAAACACTTCTGCATTAACAGGAGGACCCTCCAAGTGCTTTGCAGAGTGTGCTCCAGGGCCACTCAATTGTCCCACAGTGTCAGTATTCCAAGCACAAGACATTTAACTCTGTTTCTTCTGACACCACAGTATCAACGCAGGAATCAGGTATTTATCCAATGCCAGTAACAAGATTTCCACCTAGCAATTTTCTGCAACTTAAATATAAATGATGCATGAAAAATGTGTTCTTATGAGATATTAAACACAAGCCAAGTGCTGTAACAAAAAAGTAGGAAACACCCCAATGATCTCTGTGTTTTGTCATCATCAATGACTGCAGCCTCGAGGAGCCTCCAGCTCCTGCCAACCCAGTAGCAAGTAAGGACTCAGTACAGCTTCAAAGAAATTATGGTACTTTCTTATGTGCATTCAGAAAGAGACAGCCATGAAGCATTGCCTCACTAAATGTTATAAAAGTTCTTATAAATATTCATGTGCAGCATTTGTACTCTGAGTATTTAATCATTTCTTTACAAGAAAGGAGCAGGGAGAAGAGGAGAGGAAGAAATACTGTTTCTTCAATTCCAAAGAGATCAAGGTAACAGAAGAGGCAAACTTGTGCACAGGTGATCTACAAATTAGTCAGCACTGGGTTTAATAAACCCAGAAACCTACAAAAAAGCATTTTTCCAGGTAGATTTTCTTTTTTCTTCACATCTGAAGTTACACAATAGTTTGCAGGGATTAACCTAATGATTTCTTTGATCATTTGAATTACTTGCATTTTGATCCTTTGAATTTTTACATCGTTGGTTTTTGAAAATCACGCCTCATCTGTCGCTTCTGACATTTGTGTGAAGACAGATTCAGCTGCACTCCAAAGCTCATTGTCCCAGGTAAACCCAGCACCAGAGCAGCAGCCAAACAGGGCTGGAGAGGCTTTGTGCCACTGCCACTCCATCCATCCTCTCACAGCTGCTGGCAACTAAAATAGCAAAGACTGAGAGCCCTGGCAGCATCTCATGCAAGCTCTGACCCTGGCACGCAGCCCTTGATCAAGCCTCTCAGACCTAAAGTTTATCAATACTGCTGAGAATTAATATAGATTCCTGTAATACATGCTGACAATACAAAAGCCTGTTCAAAAGCGGCTTGTGCACAAAAGAGAAAAGATATTGCAGAACAGCTTTGACATCAAATTATAAGCCTAATAGAAAAGCAAAGAGATGTGGAGCAATAACACCTGAACTGCTCAGAAATCACCCAGCAGAGACAGCAGTGAGGGCTCCTGCCTTGCTGTGATGTGGCCTCCAAGCCAGACCAAGAAAGCCTTGGACACTTTTCCCTATCCTTCCACACCAGGAACAGCAGTTGCTGGAGACACATGTTACACTGAGCCTGGGGGTACCAGTGCCTTTGCAGACACCACACTCTGGATGTCCTTCCCCATCCAGGATGCTGTAAGCTCGAGGGAAAAATAACAATCAAAGATGTTTATTACTGCAGGCCCAGCTCCTTTACATACACCTTGGCTGGCAAGCAGAGCCAGTGCTGGCTGAACAGGCTGCAATAACAGTGCAAGAAGCTTATTGCTGTGCTGCTTCTGGTTCCCTGGTGGATCAGGCAAGGCAGATTCCTGCCAGCTGTACCTGTCTCTGCTCTCAGGTGTATTGGACAAGTCTCCATGGAGTCACCCCAAGGCCCATGCCATGTTTAGAATTACAAAGCAAAATGAAAAGTGATGTTGCCTTTTGCTTCCCTCAGGAAAACTGCCTCTTGCAAATGGTTTTATCATTTTCATTATATCCTGTTTGATTTGCTTTACCATCTTGACTGGAACAATAGCTAAGACATAATAGAAAAAGATTTTTCCACAGGCTGGTTCTAATTACATTAAATCTCAAGTGAGATAGGACATTTAAATAAGAAACAACAACTTTAGAGTCTGAGATAATGACATACCAAGATACCAGGCTTTTTGAGAGTGCCATTAAAATGATGCATGAAGCATTACAGCTACTCCAATCGGGTTTCAACACGAAAGCCATTCCTTCTGTGGCACAGTGCTGCAGAGAGAGGTCAGCACTTACTGCACTCAATGTGCTACTCAACAATTAGGAACCATTATCCCTTATGCTGAAGCTGCAACATAGACACAAGCTTAAATTTCTGTGTGAGGTGAGGCAGTTGGGAATGCAGGGTCCCTGGGATGAATCACCTCATGAACCACAAAATAGAGTGGAGCAGCTTATGAAGAGCTCCTGGATTTTGTTGCGAGTTGTACCTTTAACATTTTATCATCATAATTGAATTCTCTTAATTTCCTGGAAAACATTCTTTAGATTTTCTGGAAACCACTGAAATATAGACATGTGAAATGGAGACTGTGGCTGTGTGTCCTGCAAACACAGTTCAACCTGTCACAGTCCCACTGCTTTGTTTAACCTTGGAGCCACGGCACAGCTGCACTGCCGACACTGCTGCTCACGGGGCCCTGCAGCAAAGTATCCTGCTGGAAATCAAACCTGAGGAAAGGGAATTTCTGTGTCCCTGGTCCCCTGCTGGAAATCAAACCTGAGGAAAGGGAACTTCTGTGGGGAGGAAAGGACTTTAGGCACTTCCCCTGTGCCTCCCTTTCCTTTGGCTATTTAGTGCTAACACAGGCAAAGGGAAGAAGGGTTGGCCTGTGGGGATCGAGGGCACCCTCAGCCAGGTTGGAGACAACACTAATGGGGTGGGAGCGTTGATCTGCTGGAGGGCAGAAAGGCTCTGCAAAGGGACCAGGACAGGCCAGATCCCTGTGCCAAGGGCAACTGTATGAGGTTCAACAGGGTGAAGAGCTGAGTCCTGCCCTTGGCTCACAACTCACTGCAGTGCTACAGGCTCAGGCAGAGGGACTGGAAAGCAGAAAAGGACCTGGGCAGCAGCTGAACGCAAGCCCAGATGTGCCCAGTGGGGACAGAAGACCGATGGCACTTGGGCTGCACCAGCAGGAACAGTGAACAGTGTCTGTGCTGGGCACTGCTGTGGTCACACCTCAAATCCTGGGGTCAGGTTTGGGCCCCTCACAACAAGAAAGACATGGGAGTGCAGGGGAAGTTTAGGTTGGATATTAGGGAAAATTTCTTCCCTGAAAGGGTTGTCCAACCCTGGCAGAGGTAGAGTCACCACCCCTAGGGGGATTGAAAAGCCATGTGGCTGTGGCACTTGGGGACATGGGTCAGTGCTTGGACACAATGATCACAAGGGTCTTTTTCAACCTTAACAAGTCTCTGATTCTGTAATGAGGGAGAACAGTTCACCAATTGCCCTTGCTTACAGTTCATCACTAGGCTGAATAACCAACATCAAACCATGGCTAAGTGACTCTCTGCTGAGTCACTTCAGCCAGAGCTGAAGCAGGTCTGTAGATACACAATGGGTATCACTTTCTTATCTGTCCAGCTAGTTTTGCATAGCTGTCATAGGAACGTTTCAAGGAAATTCATGAGATACTGAGGATTGAGAGACTTTGTTTCAGTCAATAAAAAGAATCTGTGATTCTAAATTCTATAATCTGAGAATATAAACTTTCACAGAAACGGGTGAGTAAGTACAGCATTCCTGTCCAAGTAGCAAAACATTAATTCGCTATTAATAATCAAGTGCACAAAAGAAAATTTACAAAGTTTATTTCAGCACACAAAATAAAATTATTTTCTGGTGTATATTCTACACTTCAGCCTTGCCCCACTGAAGTGCTCTGACTGTGAAGATTGTCTGTGCTCACCCAGTGCCAGAGCAGGATGATGGCTCAGACACAGCTCGGTGCTTGCAGTTCTATGACCACATGGCAAAAGCATTTGCTAAATGCAGCTCAGGTATCTGCACAGCCACTGCTGGGGATGCCTCTCTGAATAGAGCCCATCTGAACAGAAATACACATGCAACTATTACTGCTTATGACAATATTTAATTATACATTTATAATTAGATAAAGAAGGAATTTAACTTGTACACCTTTCCCTATCAACTACTGGTTTTGTTAACTTCCTTTAGACCCTTATAAGACATCTGTAAGCTAAAATTAGATGGCCACGCTCACCTTCATGTACCCTTACTACTTCTCCTGACACCTCTGGACAGCCCCAGCTTTCAAATTGCAGCAAATCCACCTGTGGGTGAAGAGGAAGGATTGATTCATCTCAGTGAGCTGAACAACAGTCAGTCAGTGGAACAAGACTGCAAGGCCATGAAGAGCAGGGAGGCTGTTGCACCTCTGTCTCCCTCTGCTCGCCAGGAACTGTCAAGAGAGGTTTCAGCAGGTTTTGTGCAGCGTCTTGGCCTGAATAGAGCCTGTTCTGAAGTTCCTGGCCTCACACTGACTGCCCTTTTCCACCACTCCCAGTTGCTGGCACACATCTTCCACACTGGATCCCACTGAAAACGTGCAATTTTACACGTGAACTACACAAAAGGCTGCTTCTTCCCCAAACAGAGGAATAATTAGAAAACTTGCCAGTGTTGCTCAGGAGTTGAAATAGAGGCTGGTAACAAAAGGCTGCACAGGCCATGACGGCCTGAGAGCTGAAGCAAGCTGAGGAGTGTCTCCCCAAGCCAGGACATCCCTGGGAGTCAGCGCTGGCACTGCAGTGCTGGTAAATCAGCAGCACAAGGGCAAAACCCAGAGCCTCAGTTCCCCAATGGGCTGTGATCTATGGCACTTGCAGTGGCACACACACTCCTGATTTGCCATCCAGCTTTCTTCATGCACAGGCTGGTAGTCTCTCACTAAGAACAAAATTTTCAGAGCAGATTTCAGCTTTTATAGAATCCACTGTGCTTTCTAGAGATCCACCTTGTCTTTCAGTCAAATAAAATAACATTTTCTGTCTCTGGCTCCTGGGGGTTGTTTTCCCTTTTTACTTTTTTTTTTTAAAGATTCATTTAGATCTTGCAATGCCTATTTCTCAGCCAGACTGTCAGGGATGTTAATGAGATTTATCCTCACAGTCTCTCTCTTTCTCTGCCCCCTTTCATTCTTTGACACACAAGTGCTTTTATGTTGCAGGAAATGAGGACAACAGAAAGCTGCAGATCCCATGAATGTAAAAATTGTCTTGAAGGCATGGAACAATCCAGCCCTAATTACAGCCAGCTGAAGCCTGCTCTCTTTGCACTGATACTTAGGTAATTAACTGAATACTGACTGATGCAAGACTCAAGTATGTCACTACCACTCAGATATTCAAGGTTAATTTTTGTATCCATCACCAACATCAAGCTTAATGGATATTATCAGCTAAACTCTTGAAAATCACTAACACAAGAGTCACAGTCTTAGCAAGGACTATTTCCTTCAATGAGCTTGATGCCATCTTTCTTTAGCTGCAGAAGAAATATCTTTTACATTAATGAGGTAAATTCATTAATTTTGATCCATTTAGTACTTGTAAATACTCATTTAAAGCCCTAAACTTAAATACACTGAAACCACAACACTGATGTAATAAAATACCCCCCAAACTGTTCCAGTGGGCATTAGAGTAACACCTGTTTATTTCTCATAGTATGGCATCTTCAAATTGGTTGGTGTGAGTATCCTCCTTGGTAAACTCGATAAGGATTTTGAAAGCAAAAAGTTCTATGCTGCAAATCAAATATCCTGATTTGACTGCCAGCACATTTATCTGAAACTATTACAGGAGGGGACAGCAGAGATAGTGCTCAACAAGTCTGAAATGTCTGTAAGTCAGAACTGCTGATGCACTTCTCCTCCTGCATGGAACAATACATGTTTAGATTGTGAGGTACCTGAACTGTACTTTCAGAGAAAAACCTGAAAGAGAAAGTCAGTACCAACAAGAGAAAGTTGTCTTTCTTAGTTCCATTTTCAGCAGTGCTTTCCCTGAAAACAGGAGGTTTTGAACAGATTCAATCTCTCTGACTGGTTTACAGCTGCACTGATAGGAGAAAAGAAGGTGTCACTACTTGTTATCAAGTGGTACTTTTATTCCTAGTTACTAATTCAAGAAATCACTGTGAAAAATTTGAAGTTTTTTTTAACCTGGTAAAGATGCTCACAAGAACAGCAATACAGCACAGTAAAGACAGTAAAAGAGAAACAGAGCTAATCAGTAATTGTTAAATCTTGGGTAGAGCAATGCAGCAGATAACTAACATGCATCTCATCAGCCTGCAGTGCTCTCAAAAAATCTGGGTGGGGAGGCAGGAATCTAAAGAATCTGGAACAGGGATTCTTTTCATTTTGTATTTTATTTGTCCCCGCACCTTCTTATCTAGTAATGGAAAAATAAACAATCCCAGTTATGTTTGCACATGGCCTACCATACTCCTTCAGTAGGAAAAGTCTGAATTTTGTGAAGTATCTTTGGAATGCCACTGTAATGTAAATCACAAAGCACTGCCACCACAGCGAAGTTAAAGTGTAACCTGCAGTTTTCCCCAAGAGAATACACAGAATTTATATCACCAGAAATGGAAAGCAACAGAACAAAAATAAAAGCTTAGCAAAAAAAGTAGGTTAACTCATAGAGAGAATGATACATAAGACAAGGGTGAAAAACAAAGCAAGGCAGGTATTTTTGGAAATATTCTGAAGCCTCTTTAAAGCCCTGCCTATTTGCCTGTGAAGCATTTCTGCTTAAAATATAGATATGCTAATGTTTATATTTAAGATAGTCATGATTGGGCTGAAAGAACTCTTTGGAAGAACAAAGGAAGAAAGACTGAACACCATCAGCAGTTGGTTCTGAGTGCATTTTCAGACTTATCCTGGGGAGAGTTAAGGAATCACAGAATCATTAGTGTTGAAGGGGCTTCTGAAGGTCATCTAGTCCAGCTCCAGGGAAATGGATGTTTGAGAGGAAAAGTTGCACTCTGGATAAATTGAAGAAACCTTTTGATTCTGATAAGCCTCCAAAACTCCAATTATTTTGTGTTAAAGAAGGCACAAAGAAGCGCTGCTGCAGCAGCTCCCTGGATGAGGTGAATCCAACACTGCCCAGAACCTTGGGACAGTGGCATTACCTGCATTCCATGGAAATCATTATTGCTTGCAGCAGGTTCAAATGTGGTAATTATCTTTTCCACCTAAAAGTTCATAGTTTTCTTAATTAGCAGGATCTGAACTGTATGCAGATTTTTTGTGGGTTTTTTGTTTGATTTTTCTGGGGTTTTTTTGATGGGCTTGTTTTTTCATTATTTTTTTTTTTGTTGTTGTTTGGAAGAATGGGAATGTGTTTCTTGCCAAGGCCACATCACATAATAACAGACTAGAGAAAAATGAAAGGACCCAGCATGAAAAATACAATGTAATTATCACCAACTGAGCAGCTGATAAAAGAAATGACAGAGTAAAATACACAAGTTTCACATGATGGAAATTCAGGGAAAGTGAATTTGTAACAAATATTGAGCAAATGAAAAGAGGAGACTTCACCATAAGCAAGGCCTCTCACCTCCCAACCACTGAAATTTCCCTCCTCCTGCATAAGCAATCTGCCATCCCATCACAAAAGGAGCTACAAGACCCCCAGCAGCAGAGCTGCTCAGATGGGACTTAGAGGAGAGCATGGCCAAAACGAAGAGCAGGAGCCCCACACACTTACAAGATGATTTTTTCCATTTTGTCCTGTTTATTTGTGAATTCAGCAAACACAGCATCAGCTGCCTTCTATGAGCTCAACTGACAAGGACAGTATTTTTAACACACCTGTGATAGGCACATTTTAGGGATAAGTCTATGTGAAAACAGAGACTACTGCATGTGTGAAAAATCTGAACTGCCCTCTGGAAAGAAGTGCATACAGGGACATGGAATAAATATTATTAAATTATTGTTGGTTACTCTGTCAATATTTTGAATCAGCCTTCAGTCATTAAAACCTCTGCAGGAAAACCCTGGTTGAACCTGACAAATGAACACGCCAGGGTTTCGGGAAGAGAAATGTCTTTTTCCTTAACCCCCAATCCAAACACATCTTGACTTTAGTATCTTCAGCTTCTTTTGAGATAAATATCCTCAATTTTGCATCTTTCTTTTGTAAATGTGTAATTGCAGTTAAAATGTTCCCCTTTCTGTTCCCTGTTTTACCTTGAGAGGGAAGCAGCTGTCCTGTTCTGCACAGGGAGCACACCCAGCACAGCCATCTGTGCCCAGCGCTTCTCCAAACTGCAAGCATACAGAAACTGATACAACACTTGGAGCCTGGAAAACTGTTCAGGAATGCACAGATGAAATACACTACAGAAATGTAAGATCATTAAAAGAGTGTTATTATTCTTATTATCCTAAAAATCCATATAAGCCAGTAGCTCCTGCCTTGCCCCTACAGATACCTTGCTTTATCTACAGCACACATGGATCAAAACAGGCTCCTCTTCAGCACCAGCATTTTTTGCTCCTTCCTTGCTCTATGTGCCAAGCCAAAGACAAGCAAAGCAACAAAGGCTGATGCTGTTCTTGGAAAAAATTGTGTTCTGCAGGAGTAAGTGGGCAGTCTCATTTCATGCACACGCAGGCTCGTGCTCTGTACGGTGAGGGAACCTCTGCAAACATGTTCCTGGTGCAGTCTTTTCAATGGGAGGCATCCCATGGAATGTGTGTGGGTCCTGTGTGTGGGACAGGAGCCTGAGAGGGGTTTCACAAGAATCCTCTGTGATGGCATCTTGCTGTGTGGCTGCACAGCCAGGCAGGCTGAGGTGTACGAGGTGCCCACAGCCTCCCATTGTTACTGGGAAGGTGGTGACTTCCTCTTCATTCAATCTTTCCCCTTATTTTGCTCTTCCTTCCTGATGATAAATGCACTTCTTATTATTCCAACCAATTCAACACTACTTTTAGGAATTTTATCACTCATTCGGATTTCACTCAGTGAGTCAAGCGGAAAAAATGCGTTCTCAAGCTGAGAGAAACCCTCCCATTTAAAATCCCTGAGCCAAGGGCACCTCCCAGGCAACATCCTCCAGCTATTCTCAGACACAGAAAGAATATGTGGACTCAATCAGTTCCCACCTAGACCACTCCAGAGCATCTCCAGCACGAAGGAGATCTATCTGCCCAGAGCAGCAACCCCTGGCTCTTCCCAGGCCTCACCCTACCCAGCTCATCCAGCACCTCCCTCAACTACAAAAACCTCTTCGTGTTCAGCTGATTAACATCTTCCTGTGCCAGCAGAGAAATCTATGCCATAGCATTGTTCTCCCTGTTCCTGGGCCTCTGATTGTCACTTTTATCAGTTCAATAATAGTAATTTGAATGCAGAAACAATTACGGGACCCTATTTCCTCAGCTGAAGTCCTTGTCCCCAGCAGATTTATATTCGGTGCTGTTTTGTCAAAGTCTGGACACATGAAGAAAGTCTGGATGCCAGGCAGAGATGTAGGAGGAAACAGACAAAACATCACCTTCCAGTTTCCTAGAAATGGTTCCTCTAAACCCATGGTGGTTAGGACCTGTTTGTATCCTCTCCTGATCTCCTGCACACAGACAAGCCAAGGTGCTGTACTTTGTGCAGTAAGAACGGGCAAGGGTTTGTGACTGGGATTGCTTTACAGCTTGTGCTGCTCGTATTTCTGGCTCTAAAGTGCCCTACAGAAACCAAACATCCCACAGAAGTGCTCCAGCTCCAAAACTTCTACAAAACAGACATGAGAGCTGGAACTGTCTTTTTCTTGTTCTCATTAGACACATGAATGAATCAGATCTAAGGATCTGTGCACACCTTCAAAGAGAAAGGACTGCAGGGCTACAGGGAACAACAAAGGAAAGGCATTAACGAGAGCACAGTAAACCTGAAAACTTGAAAGAAGAAAAACATTTTTAAGTTCTTTTTGAGCTTCATTTGTCACTGCTGCAGACAGATGGAATCTGCAAGCCCTCCCTTCCTGCCAATGCAGCAGAAGACACTGACACAGTATAGAAACAGCTCTGGCAACAAACCAGAGAACTCCTAAAGATGGGAACTCAGTGAGGGAATAACCTGGCAGCTTCCTGAGCACCTGATGCACTGGCTGAGCTCTAAGTTCTTGCTTGGGAGGCTCCTGAGTGCTGGTCTGACTGTGCTCTCACAAGAGACACAGAAACCTCAGTGTGGATTTCAGCCAGAACTGCTACATTAATGCTGGCCATCTTCTGAAATCCCACCCTTAATCTCATGGGAATTAGGACAGAATTCTTCTGGGGCAGTGACTGTTCTCCCACTGAAGTTCTAACACAGCCTGTGATACAGGGGTGGAATGAATACCTCACCTGGACTAGTAAATAACAACAGGTACATTTGTGAGGTTCAGACATGTAGATCTAATTTTTCTACCATCAGTCACTTAGAGCTACTGTCAGATCTGTTCACTCTCCCTCTGAAAAACAGAGGGTAGAATAAGAAAGAAGCATTTCAAACAAAACCACAGCACATAATAGATTCCTTTGTTTTATTCATAACAAATGAAAGAAATGTGGTGAGACATCATTTTCAATATATGCAGTTACATTACAGTTTTCAAACTCAGGCAGATTCTATTGTGCTGGGGTTTAGCACGGCTTTGAGGAGAGCACAAACATCTCCTTTCACTCTTTTGCCTCAAAAGACATGGAAACATCATCTTGGTGGTATTAAAGTGGTATTAAAGATATGGCAATTCTCCTCTACCCTTCTTAAAAAAAGAAAAGCTTCTGGTTTTAGTGGCCAGTTCTACATTGTTAAAGGCACAGAGCCCAAAATGGGATAGCAAGACAGAGCTGGGAGTCTTTCTGCTCCCAATTTAACTTTAAAAAGTAGCACAGTTTTGTATTCCTGACTAGTAAACTGACATAAGGGAGACAGGCATAGAAGTAATTCAGATGTTTAATACCCAGCTATGAATGGCAGAGTAAAAGATAAGCAAATAAGAAGAGCAAAGAAAAGAAGAAAATGGAAAAAGATTTTTGAGGAAATATTCAATGTCAGCGGAAAAGAACAAACTTCCTGGTGTGCTGTGTGTGTCTTTCCACATATCTTTTCATAAGTCACATAAAGTACTTAAAATATAACAAAAAATAGGGACAGAGCTGCTTCTACAACCTGTTCCAAACTGCAGTTTGCTAGGCATTGGGTAGGGAGACAGTCAGTAATGGAGAAACAGCAAAATATTTTTGTTTTTCAATGATAAAGAGATGGGATGAACCCACAGGAAGAAATTTCAGCTACTGAATAAAGCACCAGATCCTAAAATTCCAACTCTTTGCTAATGAATGAAGCTCACAAAATCACATGTTTGGCTCTTGTAAGATTTCTCTATTTAAACTCTGGTAACAGTAAAACAATATTATCTATAATTCAAATTATCCTATGGTACTGTATTGGAAATAAGAAGATGACAGAAAAATGAGTTACCACTTAAGTCTGAGGCATTGAATCCATTCTTATGTCAATGGCTGGCTTGGCAAAACCTCTTGCAGCCTCTGGTAATAAATTCTGCTGAAAATGTCAAAACTTCCGACTTTTCCAGACAAGTTCACTTCACCCCCTTCTCTTCATGATGGCTGGTCAGGGCAGCAACATTTTCTGTGAAAGACAGACAAGAAGATATTTGAAATAAATTTGAAATCTGATTTATTGGAAATTTTTCTTGAGTGACCTCCTGCTATCTTAAATACCACAGGAACTGTGTAAAAAGACACTTGAATTCTCTTCAGAATCCTGGCCACATAGCTGGCACCCCAGACTTTTGTCCTTGTCCTTAACATTTCCCATTTCTTTTCCATTCCCCAGGAACACACTGCTGCTTTAATTTTGCCTGCCCAAGAGTCACGCTGCATCTTTGCAGTTAAGATGAAGACAGGTTGGAGGAGGAGGCTGAGGAAGAGCCTGTAGAACCAACTGGAAGAATTAAGGAGCTTTCCTGGGAAAAGGAGCAGAGCTCTTTGGAGTTTTTCAAGGAGACAGCACTGTCCAGTCCTTTTGGGGTTTGTTTGTGGGGCTTTTTTCCCTCCTCTGGTATTCTGCTTCTTGTGACTTCAAGTGTGAACACATTTGTGAGTGACAAAGTTGGCAGAAAGAAGGCAAACACAAATCATTTGTATAGCAGCAGCCACAAATAACCAGGAGCAAAGTACTTAAACTTCTGTGCAAAGCAAACACAGCCTACCAATGGCACAGGCTGAGCAACACAACCAGAACACCTTGACAACAATTATCACCACAAAAGGACCTTTTAGGACATCTGAAGGGAAGATTCTGAAATAGCTCTGCAGATGAATAGCAACAAGTAAAATTAATAAGAACCATCCTAAGAGAAAACACACATTATGTGCTTGAAAATGGACTTAATGAGAAGGGTGAATACCCTCTCATTGAAGGCAGGTAAGGGAACAGCCACTAAATTAGACTTCAACTTGTGGCTCATTGTCTAAATGGAGATATGAGAGATGAATCAAAAGCTTACTCTAGATGGAGAAGATTGAATCTTCTCCTAACCCGAGTGTTACCAAACAATTTGATTTTGCAGATGGGATTGGCCAGAAATAGGATGCAAGAGAAAATGAATGAGAACTGAGGCCTGCAAAGCCTCCAGGAATGTTGAGGGGACACCACAATCCTTCGTAGTTTTGAGAACCTCACTCAGCAGCAAAATTCTTCTTTGCATATTATCAAGTTCTTTGAAATAGAAAAAAAAGCCCTGAAGGAAAGAGAAATCAGCCAACACTTCATGGCGTGGAATGGCTGCACTGAGAGATTATTTAAAGTGTCTGCATAAGGAGATGTGTTTGTGTAAAATGTTAACCCATTCCAAAATGTCTTTTTTTTCTGGCTAGAAGAACAAGAGACAGGGAACCTTGTGGATTCAGGCAGGATGCTGCAGTTCAAGCAGCTGGCCAGGGGAGGAGGGAGGATGGATTTCTCCTCCTGTAGTTTCCACCAGCCTGCAGGACCTGTTCTCAAATTGTGGACACCTCTGGGCAAATGTCTATAGGGAACACCAAACCAGGAAACATTGCCAGAGCTGCATCTATATAATAAAATATCAAGTTACACACATTTTTAAATTTTACCTGCATGCAGGTATTTGCACTTCTGTCCTAAAATTCTGCAGGTTTTGCCCAGCAGTACAAAGGGCTCTCCTTGCATTTCTTTTTTTGCTTGTGCAGCTGCATTCCAACACCTCTGGCACAGCTGGAGATGGCAGAGATTCAGTGCCACAGCTGGATATAAATCTGGTGTTCCTGTGGCTTGTGAGGATCACTGAGGTGTTTTATAGGTGCCACAGAAAACACTTTATCTCCAACATCAGCATATTGCACATTAAATGGTAGCTAAGGCAACAGGTGGCACAGAGATCACAGATACATTTGTCATTGTACTCACAAGCAGCACAGGGGCTTAAAAAACACAATCTACCACTCCAAAAGAAAAGAATCAAGCCACTCCACATTCACTTCAGTTCCAGTGCCCGGTACTACAGATTAATTTAAAACATTTGAAGTTAATTGACAAAGATGATGTGCACCTCGCAGCACAAAGGGCAGGAATGCTCAAGAAATGAATCACAAACCGTTCCTGCAAACATCCCAGCTCTCAGTGCCAGGGCTGGAGCAGCTCCCCAGCCTGGCAGGCTGAGTGACAGCCAGGGCTAAAGGGACACCTCCTCACAAGGTGAGGAACAGGAAGGCCATTTCAAACTCCTCCATCTGAATTATGATTGCTGACTGTATAAGGAGGCAAAAACGGAAGCAAATCCACAAGGAAACAAAGCATCGTTTGGGAAAGGTTTTTCCTATTCATGTTGATTGCAAGTGAACTCTTCCCGAGCTGTGAACAACTGGTGATGCTTTAGTGTTCAGTACATGGCCTGATTTTATCATAAAAGCTCGTCCTTGCCTTCAGCTGCCTGTCAGATTTGCCAAGCTGGCAACACTTGCGCTGTTTAATGTCTCAGCATGTTGTATCTTGGACACAAACCCCTGCAAAAATACCTAATTATAAATATTTACATTTGTTATCCTTTTTGCATGATACAGGAGAGAGAGGGAAAACAGATTCTTTCCACTGAATCTGCAAAGCATGACAACATCACAGGGTTAATATCCATGAGCAAAGCATTCAAGGGGATTGGAACCCCCTTGAGTGGGACTCCACAGCGCTCCCCACACACGGTGTGCAGGCCAGCTTTGCCCAGGAGGCTGCAGGGAGCACCTGGCCCAGAAAACACCAGGAATTCCAGGAATAGCCCCAGAGGGACACTGCTGCTGGTTGGTGCTGAGCTCCTGAGAGGCCACTCAGGTGGTGGCATTTTGAGGAGTCATTACCCAGCCGAGGAAGAGATGTGCTCTTCTTTCAGAGTAATAACTCCTTCACTTCCAAATTGTCTCCTTGGGCAAAGAAATGCTGCACACAGAATAGAGCCACTCTTGAAGGATACAGGGAAAGCATCAGTACAGGGAATGTGCAGCCCTTGACAGATATGTTAATACAAATTCACAGAGGTACACAACAAACTCCCAAAAAGTTTAAAAGTCGAAACTTCTGATACTTAAAAAAAATATTAAATACACGATGACTGTTTAAAATAGAACTGATTCATGGGGAGAAAGGAAGCACTTAATGACTTGCTCATGCTTAAGGACTCTTAAATAAAACAAGTATCTGTTACTCATGCGTTTGAAGGATTTGCTACTCTCGAGCTACTGATTTGAAAAGCTTTTGACACAGCAAGATGAAGACACATCCCCAAGGGCTGTTGTGTGAGCTGAAAGCCTGTGTGCTCTCAAACACTCTTCCTTTCATTGATGAAGGGAAAGATTAGCAAGAGGAAGAAAAAAAATAAAGACTTGACTGTTTTGGCTTTGGAAATGAGGTTTCAATAAGATTTTCTGGCCTGAAGAATCACCAAAGAACCCCAAACTATCATGTGAAGAAGTAGTGATAGAATTTGAGACCATCAGAGGCTATCCAGGCCCTGAGCTGCATCTCTCCTTCTGCTATTTTTATTCATTAATTGTAGGCCTAATATTACAAACCCAATACTATTTCATATGAGGAGAAAATTAGAAAAAACAGAAATTACTATTAGTCACCCTCCATCCTTATGAATGAATCACACAGTACAAACTTCAAACACGGGGTTTATCAAGGCTTGGCCAAAATGCAATTTTTGGCTATGGGATAGCAGGCAGCAACAATGAAACAACACAAGCTTCTGCTCCATTTTTACTGCTCTGTGCTCCAACAATTTCTTCTCTCAACAGCTACTGAAAACCTAGCCTTTCATTGGTATTTCACATTCACAAAACCCTATAAACAGCTGAATGTGGCTTTCCAGAGGGCTCTTGGCACAGCCACACAAGCTCAGGTAGCAGCATGGACCCAGGGACACAGGGAGAAGGAAAAGCTGGCAGTCTTTGGCAAAACAAAAAACTGAGAGCAACAATAAACAACCCCCAATCCCAAACCCTCAAATGACTGTTTAGGCAGCTTTCTTTCACAAACTAACCCCAAAACTTGCACTGGGATTGCAATTTGCATTTCAACCCATTCTCCCCCCATCCCCGTTTGCTGTTTGCCCAGTTTTATTAGAACCATCTGCAAGATCCTCCCCTTCCAGTTTCTTGTGTCGGTTCATCTGGCAGCTGCACTTTTTCATCTATTGAAAAAAAATCTTTGTTTCAAAGTTGTTGAGACAGAAGGTCTTTGACAGGCTAAAAATTATCTTGAAAATCAACACAGAAACCACATCATATGCTGTTCTTAACAGACTGAAGGGGAAGAATGGCAGCTAGAATATATATATATTAATGGGAAGATAAAAGAGAGGTTTGGGGATCATGAAAAATTTTAACAACTCAATTTATCTGACAAAAGCCACAATTTACTGAAGTACTGCAAGTTGCCACTGCAGAAGCATTTTAGGCTCTGCATTATTGCTGACAGAAACAAGAGAAATGCAGAGAAGTATTTCCTTACAGCAGCTCTTGGCAAAACATAAGCGAGGGGAGTGCTAAGGGAAGGAGGAATGTTGAAGTGAAATAGAGTTTGAATTATTTTCTTTAAACATAATACAAGTATTACAAGTTTTTGAATATAACATGCTTTGCAATCCCCTTCATTAGCCTGTGCATGGTGCTGCTTAAGTTTCCACCTTTCTCTGTAACCCTCCTAAAAGATCTTAGTTCCCTTCTGTGTACAGATGTCTGTGCTGTCACCGAGGTGTCCATCCTGATGGGACAGCTCCTGCTGCAGCACAGGGAACATCAGCACTGCTGAAAAATGGCACAAATCCTGGACCTTGAACTGGTTCGGATATTGTTCTTCTCCAAATTGTTTCTGCATTCACCTTGTCGCAGAAGAACGGCACAACCTTCACTTTTGGGGATGAACAGAGAATTCTCTTCCACATTTCTCCAAATCTTCTCATAAGACATTTTTAATAAAGAAAATTCACTTCAAGTATGAACACAAAATACTCGAGCAGCACAACTCCTACTTTCCCATTTAGATTAATACAAACATTTTCTTTCTTTCTTATGTTACTGCTATTTAAAAGGTAACAAATAACTACAGACAATATTCAACTGCCACCAAAGAATGTTTGTACATGTGTAAATTTAAAGAATCTGTGACATGAATCGAACTATTTCAAATCTCCCCAGAGTACCAGCAATGCTGGAAATAACTTTCTCCACATAAGCATGTGAACTGTCTTTAACTATCAATCACATCCAAGCCCTGCTGTCATCCACCCTGACCTTCCTGATTCTGTTTTATACAACCTCCAGCCCACGTCTTCCCTAAGCAAACTCCTAATTCCTTCTTTAACTAAACAAGGCAACTTAAAGTTTCTCAAGCACTCTGACAGGACTTCTACAGCTTCTACATTGGGATTTGCCATTTTCTTCCCACACTTTCAATCCTCATAGAACATTTTTGGGTTTAAATAAAAGTATTATGCAGGATTTCAAAATTTCCATGAACAAATAGGCTTATTTTCTCCCTTGAACTTTATCATAAAACATATAAAACAATTTAAATGGTTTTAATTGCACAGGCTCTAGGAAAAAACAGGCAAATATAATAATTTGAGTTGACAGATTTTGCAAGGCAGACTTTAAAAGTATTTTCAGAAACACTGGAAACAGCATTATCATAATCTAACTTCATAAATTTTATATGCAAATAAAAAATTAAAAATGCAGACCTAAAAATATTTAAAGAAATCAATATATTTTAATGAATAGCATAAAAAAAGTAGATCTGCTCTTGAAAAAGTGTCCTGGAAACTCTCAGGAGAATTCATGGAATAACCACAGAGTTTGTGCTTCTGTGATCAATGAGCAGGAGAGATTTTTATTCAAACACTTAACAATACTTTTGTTAGCATATACATGGCTCCACTGGCTTATTAGAAATTTTGGCAAAAATAAGACATCTTGTGAAAGCAAGAAAGCTGAATAAAACCAAAGACTGAGAGAACAAGCTTAAAATTTCTCTTCCCTCCCCCCCAATGCATTGCAAAAAAAATACCATTTTGATGAATAATCTCTTCCAAATCCTCTTTTCCAGTCACTTTTGATCTTTACAGAATATATACATTTATATAAGCCAGAAACAACCACAAAAGCAATATCAAACCCCCATCTCAATGCACACCCCTGTTTCAAGGTATCATGAATATATTAAGTTAAAATTGCAAACAAAGGAAGGCTTGGGACCATAAAAAAAAAATTACACCCTGCTGTTAATGCCATTTTTCTTGCTCTTGCATACGTGATGTCGATTCCCTGGTTTCCATTCAACAAATAAAGCTATGAAATGGCAGTGGATTTCCTGCTCCAAGTCCAGGCCTGCATCCAAACAATTCAACATTAAAACTGTGGCTGCCAGCCTCAAATATTCCCCCCTACAGGAACAAACACTCCCAGATGTATGACAGAGGTTATCAGAAAATCTTACTGAACTGGGGTTAAGAGGAGAAAGTGGCAGATTGAACGTGTGCACGGCATTCTCCCCATGAAATCTGTTCCTACAGAATGAAGTTCTGGAGAGCAGAGGCTGCTGTGAGGCTGCTGAACAGCTCCATGCCAGGGCCAAAGGCAAAGGCAGTGCCCAGCCTCAGCGGGACTGCACAATTCTGCACGGCTGCCACGAGAGCCACAGGATCGACCCAACGGGACAGACCCAACAACTGGACAGACCCAACAACAACTGGATAAACCCAACAACAACTGGATAAACCCAACAGGAATGCCACCCCTCCTTCCTGGGCACAGCACTTGCCAAAGGGCAGGGGGTTGGTTAATGCAGCCTCTGTAACTTGGGGGGACCCAAATGCCACAAGGCTGCACCTCCTCATTCTCTCCTGGGCTAAGGCAGAGGATCCATCTCTCGATCCTCAATTCTCCACTCTCAGTTAGGAGCAAGGACCACGACAGCTCTGTCAGAATGATCCTGCCATTCCCCTGGCTTGTCAAACACCACCCCTCCCAAAACATATGGATTTAGCCCAG